GCTACCACATTCTCTCGGTGCCACGGGAAACCCAACCATCTCTTCTGTGGTCCCCTGATCACCCGCCTGGCGCGCCACTTCGATATTGACTTGGAGGGACTCACGGATTCCTCAGCACGGGGCGGCTCCACCCCTCTCAGCCGGGACGTTCTTCACAATGCGCTCCTCCTGACCCTGATGGCACCCGCTCCTGGGTGGATGGGCTGTCTTTGCCCCCTGAGGAGGATGCGGATCTGGATGAGGATGAGGAGGACGACGACTACTGCGGCGAGGAAGAGGCCGATGATGATGATGATGATGATGATGATGGCGGGGCCATGGATGCTGATGAGCCGGAGCCCCCGCTCTCTCCACCAGGGGACCTTCAGCCACGACGGAGATCCGAGAGAGGCGAGTCCTCCTCTGGTCCTTCTGGTCCGTCGATGGACTTCTTCACGGAGCAGTTCCAGCAGATGGGGCTCCAGTTCCAACAGCTCGGGCTTCAAAACCAGCAACTCATGGACCATCGGGTCCAGTTCTACCAGCAGTATTCGGCCCACCAGGCTGAGTACCAGTCTCGGATGACGATTGTGGACGAGCGCCTCGACCGGATGGAGGCTCAGATGGGAGTCACTCGTGCTCACATCGAGCGAGAGCGGGATCGTAGCCGCCGGATGATGGAGTACCAGGAGCACCTGCTCCAGTCCTGTCACCCGCCTCAGGATCACCACTGGACCACCCGATGGGACCACTCACCACCCCAGCCACCACCACCAGATGGGGTCGATGACCTCATGGATCAAATCGACTTCACCGGGCTCGAGTAGGCTGTACTCGTGGCCCGTCTTGTGTTGTTTTTTCTTTCAGAGTGCAAACTGTCATGTGTGTTGGTTTATTTTCTTTATTTTTCTTTTGGATGATGTACTATTGGGCTGACAACTGGACCTAACGTATTCTGGCTGGCCTTTTGTTTTCCCTTTAGCTGTGCCTTTGTCCCTGACTGGTCCCCTCTCCAGTCCTCTTCACTCAGACTGGTCCCCTCCAGTCTCATGTAGTCCGGCACACCGGTAACATCGTTCCCCTTATCCTTCCCTCTTCTCCATTGAGGGCAATGTCGAACTTAAGTGTGTGTGTGTGGGGGGGGGGGGATATTTCTCTTTTGACTGCATTAGATCTGTTTGTGTGCTTGGAGCCTAGTCCACTGTCCAAATTTTGATTTGAGGGCTCCAAGTACGTGTTTCCTTTCAAATTGCCTGCTCAGTATGCTTTGAATTGACAGTCTCTATAGTAATGTGCAACCTAGGGAGGTAGTGTATCACTATGGAGGATGTTGAAGTATAAGATTTTTCCTATCTAGCTCTCTGCTGTGCCAGTTGATTTTGTGAATTAGTGGAGCTAAGACCGTTGAATTCATGTGGTAATGGTGACTCTGATTGGATTGTGTTATGGACTCGTGTATCGAATAGGGTGCTCATGTGGGAAATGAAAAGCAGTTGGTTCTCCATGTCGAAATCATTGAAATCTTAAACATGGGGTAAGCCCAACGTGTGTGGTACCGTTCATTGCACAAAATCGGGTTTGGAAGAGATTTTAGTGATCCTTAGTGGGGTACTCCTACAAGGTGAAGCTAAGTTGTCTCTAGTACAAGTAAAACTTCCACCCGTTGAATGGTTTGTCTACTCGAGGATGTGTTTTTAAGGGCACAGATAGAGCTTCTGACCCTCCTTAATTTCATTGACCCTCCACACGAGTTGAGGAAAAGGAGTTAAAAGAAGTACTCTGGCGAGCGCCAGATGTACAGAAATTGCTCTTGCTTGACTAATAAGGGTCGGCCGTGCAAAAGATTGCAGTTGGAACCCCCTCCAAGTAAATGAAGAAAAAGAGAAAAAAGAAATGTAAATGAAAGTGCAAAAAGGGTTCCAACGGTGAAATGAAGTGAAAGAGCACCCCGGTACAACGAGTCCTTGGTTGTGAATGGTGTGAATCCCTTTATCCATGAACTGGTTGTCTTACTTCTACTTCTTCTCATGATCCTGGCTTGAGTCTAGTACTCGCATTGAGAGAGATAGGGGACGTCTTAGAAGACCAGTTGACCTCGTAAGCTGCTATATGATCTAGGAAATCCTCTACCGACGATCGGGGTTGTTTGTTGCTATAGAGGTCTAGAGAGTTGCATTGGTTTGAGTTAGGTTTGCTTGGGGACAAGTAAACAGTTAAGTGTGGGGGAATTTGATAGACCATTGATTTCACATGTTTTTACCCCTATTCCTGAGCCGTTTGAGATGTTGATTCTCGTGTTTTAAGCCAATTTCACGTTAGGTTGTGTGTTTATGTCATATTTCAGGGCTTGGCGTTGGCATCGAGGCGAAGAAACGAGTTTCGGGTCGAAAGGAGCACGTTTGAGTTGAAGTGTGCTGGAGGAGCAAAATACCCGGCCATGAGCAAAAATACCCGACCGGGTATTAATCTGAGCAGACTGGGGAAAATCGCTTTTGGACGTTTGAGAAGCAGAAGGGGGCCCGGTCGTGAAGCATAAATCCCCGGTCGGGTATTCTTGACCTTGACCGGGGATTAATCCCCTGTCCTCGATGGTGCGTTTCAACAATCCCCGGTCGCCACCTAAAATACCCGACCGGGTATTCTCACCGGGGATCGCGATTGACAGCTTCTTAAGGGAAAAGAAGGGCAAAGTTGAAGTGTTCCGAGTTTTAGAGAGACAAAGCGTATACCTAGAGATAAAGTGACGAACCTGATTCTTCAAGCGCCTTAGATCGATCTCCATCACCATTGGAGCTCGGCTTGAGCTTGGAGAAGTGCTGATTGATTGCCAGAAGCAGAATCTCATCCTTCACAGTATGGTTTCCGCGTCTGAGCTAGATTTCCCGTCTCTCTTTATGGAGTATCTTTCTCATTCACCTGGGTATGAAGAACTCTAGATTTGTATGTTAGGTCTGATTGTATGAACCCAAGTACGAATTCAGTGATATGATTGGCAAGTAATGATCTGGTTCTTTTTCAGGTTCAAAAGGTCATCCAGGTATGGTTCCCCCTAGTGTGCAGCTAGTTCAGGTTATACGGTCCCAAATTACTCAAATTGATAGGTAAACCGCAGAAATTTCTTTACTGGTCTGGACTCTTGACTAAAGTTATCCAGACCCTCTTAGTTCGAATACCCGGCGGGCAACTAACCTCCACCAGCATACACTAACCAAGGTTAAACGCGCGAAACTTCCACTACTTCCTTTGTTCCAGTACGGAGCAGTGAATTGACTTCACTTCTCGACTAAAGCAGTCGATTCACCACTTCAATTAAGGGTTTGATCAGGACTCATGTAATTCTGAATAATTCCTCAACTGAATTTATCAAATCAATCATTCATAACATGGGGTTCATACAATCATTCCTAACATACACAGCTAGGGTTCTTCATACCCAGATGAAATGGAAAAGTACTCCATGGAGAGATGTTAGAACGTCATGCTCGGAGTAGACATCATCAGAACGACAATGAACAACTGCTCCTGGCGGCTAATCGGTGCTCCAAGGTTGGGGAATCAAGCTCTGAGGTCTTTAAATCGCTCCAATTCTTGCCTTTGGGTTTTGCTTCGTCACTCTCTCTAAGGTTCTTTTTCTGCCTTTAGAAGTCCAAAAATCCGGATGCTTTGCAAATCTCCCGAGCAGCCTTTAAATAGGCTGAGAATCCGCGACTTACGGCTGAAGTTACGGTCGTAACTTTGTTCTCCTGCCCTTAACTTCCCAGATACGTCGTCGTTGTGGCACCCCGTAAACGAAGAGTTACAACTTCATTGGGGGAGTTACGGTCTCAACCGTAACTTGAAGAGGGAGACCGTAACTTGAAGGCCGAGTGCGAAGAAGCAGTGGGACGAGGAAGAAGCATGGCTGGTTGACTTGGTCCCTGCAGAGGGAGAAGTTGGTCCGGTGGCGGAGGGAGATGGTGGTCCGACAGCGAAGGGAGAAGTTGATCCGACGGCGGAAGGAGAAGGTGATACGGCGGAGGGATTACTTATTTCGAGAAGAATGTCCGCTGGAGGAGGAAGGATTCCTTCCTCGATAGTCACTGGAGGGAGGTTCCGACTGTGCTGTTAGTGTGAGAAGAAAAGTCAAAGGAAGACTCGCAGGGAGGTAGTAGAAAGGCACGATGAAACATAGAGTATTTTGGTCATTTCCAAACCCAGTTAACGATAAGAAAATGAAATTTTGGACAAAGAACATTTTCGTTACATCGTACTAATACAGGGACATGTTTATGCAAAATCATAATATAAGGCACCTTTGTTGTCTCGCAATAATAGAGGGACAGAAAATGCTATTAACCCTTTTTATTGGGCATTGTTATTCGTCGCCCTAAAATTTCTTATTCGTCGCCCTAATTCAGTCAAATTTACTTTAATGTCCTTAAATCATTTATTTATCTTTCAAACACTTATCCCAACTTAAACTCATATATTGCACCAAAATTAACAAAATATAAGAAAAGAAACAACAAAATAAACCTCAAAATAAACTCAGCGATGGTGGCATCCTAGAATGTTGTTTTTTTTTTGTGTGTGTATTTGCTGATATATATAAACTGGGTTCAACTGAAATTAGCAACTTGACTTTGAATCAGTGAGAATAAGAAATATATTGGTACTCTTAAATTCATTGAGCAAATTTGAGTAGTCAAAAAGCACCAAGTCACCAACTTTACCCACTAATCGAGTAGGAACTCTTCCTTCCTCTGCAGCCACGGCGGCGACGGAAGGTAGATCGGTGTTGGGCAGGAGCAGGGCAGTCGGCTTCCTCCAGCACTCGAGTAGTAGCAGCGGGAGCAGGAGGCAGGGTTAGAATTATAATTGAGTTGAGGGTATATATGTCAATTTGTTGTGTTTTAGGGCGATAAAATTTGAAGTTTAGGGCGACAATAATTTTTATTTTATTTCTATCTACATTATGCAGTTATGGTATTGAGAACTGGGATCAATCGGCTTATCCCGCGAACGGTCCCCGGGCTGCTAAAATCGTCGCCGTTTGCCAAACCACCGGCCTGCCTCCATACACCTTCGTCAGTTTCTTTTCTCTGCCCGAACTGCCAACATCGCGACCGATTTATTAAGGAGTTCGATTTTCTCGGCAAACAATCGGAAAGAAGGCGGCCTTTTTTGCTATCTATGGTCCTATTAACGTCTTCCGCTCCTTCGCCGGTGTTTCCTGTTATCCCAAGCTCCAGAATTTGATCGATCTAATTCGATCTGCTGACTTAATATCCTAGTTTTTCTTCATAACTATTGGAGGATTTGGGCATTGTGTGCTTCATTATAGTTATCGATAGGTTAGGTTAGGGTTTTAGTTTGTTGTCCATCCGCCAGGGTGAAGCTTTCAGGCGAATTGGGTGCTTCCAAGCGGGAACTATTCAGAGAAGTTAGGGTCTTGATAGTAGCTCGATGGCGGATCGTAGCATCAGCAGCACTAACAACGCTTTAGCGAAGCCGATATGGATGAAGCAAGCGGAAGAGGCCAAGCTAAAGAGCGAGGCTGAGAAAGCTGCGGCTGCAAAGGCTGCTTTCGAGGCCACGTTCAAAGATGTGAGTAACAAACCAGAAACTCCTGCGCTGGACTCCGATTCAGATGAAGAAGAAGAAGACGAGAGAGATTTGGCTAACAAGCCCATTGGCCCTGTCGACCCGGCCAAGTGCACCGCTGCTGGTGTGGGAATTGCTGGCGGGACCGCTTGCGCTCCCTCGACTTTCACGGTGGTGACTAAGGATGCTGATGGAAGGAAGGTGCCTCAGGGAGGCGCCGAGATTAAGGTGACGGTGTCCCCTGGAGTTGGTGTTGGGGGAACTGAGCAGGATGGGATTGTGAAGGATATTGGAGATGGCTCGTATACGGTCACTTATGTGGTGCCCAAGAGGGGGAACTATATGTTGCATATTGAATGTAATGGAAAACCCATCATGGGTAGCCCATTTCCTGTGTTCTTCAGTCAAGGTAATCCAGAAACTGTGCTTTAAATTTTGTTGTAGTGGTTACTTCGTTAGGCGAATCCTATATTGTTCTGATATATTTCTCTGCAAGTATAGGATGTGTTTCCTCATTTGTTAACTAATTAGTGTTTAGCTCTTTTGCTTATTGTCATTGCTAAATACAGAGCGCATCAGATCTTATTTTCAGTTAATGAATCTTATTCATTTCTCCATTAATGGTGTGTTGGCTTCACCTGTACATATTCTCATCTCTTGAATGTTGAATTGAACTTGCTTTTGCGATGCTGTTTCCTTTTGTTATTTTAGTATCTATGCCTTTTATCATACTGTACTGAACTAGTTGGGTATGTAATTGTTGTTGTCCAGGCACTTCAACTGGTGGTCTCCTTGGTGTGGCTCCTGCTTCGACATATTCAAACCATGTCAATCAGACTATGCCCAACATGCCTAATTATTCGGCATCGATGTCTGGGTCTTTCCCTGGATTGTTAAGTATGATTCCAGGAATCGTTCCTGGTCCTTCTGGTGGTGTTGTCTTGCCCGGAATTGGAGCATCACTTGGAGAAGTTTGTAGGGAATATCTTAATGGTCGATGCACGCAATCGGATTGCAAGCTGAACCATCCTCCCCACAATTTACTGATGACCGCACTAGCAGCAACGACCACAATGGGCACTCTCAGTCAGGTGCCTATGGCACCTTCAGCAGCTGCTATGGCTGCTGCTCAGGCTATCGTTGCTGCTCAAGCTCTTCAAGCTCATGCTGCTCAGGTGCAAGCAGCACAGTCCAGTAAAGATACATCTGGTAGTTCTTCTTCTTCTGTGGGTGTTTTTGCCTGCAGCATGCTTGAGATTTATTTCTACTTGGATGATTTCCCTGTGTTTTGTTGTGTTTGCTTGTAAAATTTGTATTCTAGGGTTATTGACATATATTTTTTGTTCAATTAGGCTCATCTGACAGATTTGGCAAGGATGAAGCACTCAAAAAGACTCTCCAAGTTAGCAATCTCAGTCCTCTGCTGACAGTTGAGCAGCTGAAACAACTTTTCAGCTTCTGTGGCACGGTTGTGGAATGTACAGTTACTGATTCGAAGCATTTTGCATACATAGAGTACTCAAAACCAGAAGAAGCAACCGCGGCTTTGGCACTGAACAATATAGATGTTGGTGGACGTCCTCTGAATGTGGAGATGGCTAAATCACTTCCCCAGAAACCAGTCGTAAACTCTTCAGTGTCCTCTTCGTCTTCTTTGCCTGTGATGATGCAGCAAGCTGTTATCATGCAACAGATGCAATTTCAACAGGCTTTACTTATGCAACAGACAATGACTGCACAACAAGCAGCTAATCGCGCTGCAACCATGAAGTCTGCAACAGAGTTGGCTGCTGCCAGAGCCGCAGAGATAAGTATGAAGCTAAAAGCTGATGGACTTTTCGATGAAGAGGAACCTAAGAAAGAGAAGTCGAAGTATGTCATCTGATTTGTATTTATTATGTTCGCTGTTCCTTATGCATGAGATTAGAAATGATGGAATGCGAGATTAGTATTTAGTCTCCTGACGCTGGTTGGATCATATACTAGGTCCAGTTGCGTGTAGATCAGTCTTACATAAGTGTTAACCTATCTTGATTGGTTGATTTACCAGGTATATAGGCTGATAAGAAAATCAGAATTGGTTTTGCCATTCCATGGTCACTGGTCTTCTGGCTCAGAATTCTAACATGTTTCTATTTGTTTGCTTCAGCATCTATATTCATTGTGAATTCCACTTGACATTTCTCTTATATAGCATCATTTTGAAAATTCCAGTGTCATATCTTAGACATCATGCATTTTCTTTATCCACTAATGGGTTTACTGATGTTTCAAGGTCGCCATCACCTCCTCGAGCGAGATCCAAGTCAAGGTCCAGATCACCAATCAACTATCGGAGAAAACGAAGATCACCTTCTTACTCACCTCCACCACACCGCCGTAGGGAACGTACACCCTTGAGATCTCGGAATTACTTGAGGTATGACACTGGTAGGCGTTCTTTTAGAGATTCCAGAGATGATAGCGGCAGAAGTAGGAGAAGGGATTTGGATAGATCTTATGACCGTGATTTTTCTACTTCAAAGCGACATAAGAGTCGAAGTGTGAGCCCTCGAAGACGAAAATCCTACAGGGAGGATTCAGGTTCTCCAAGACGGCGCCTAGATAGTTCACCACACAGAACAAGAAAATCACCACCTGGTCGGTCAAGATCACCAAGGCGTCACCGAGCTAGTAGGTCATCTCCTAGAACTGATGGTGATAGCAAGACTAAACGCCGGGAACGCTCTCTCTCTAACACTCCAGATGAGTCCAATGATAGGACAAATGGAGCCCAAGATGAAATAAAGCTACGGGAAAGGAGATCGAGATCACTTTCAAGTGAATCCAGGCCCGTCCAGGGCAAGTCATCTCCAACGAGCTCAAATGATTCTGAACAAAAGCAGAAGAGAAGATCCAGGTCTAATTCATTAGAGACCAAGCATCGCGTGGATGAGAAATTGGATGAGAATTCTAGAGGTGGAAGTTCCAGACGTCGTGGAAAGATGTCGCGGTCAAGATCAGCAGAACGTGGTCACAGGTCTAAAGAAAAAGAAACTGGAAGCCGAGACAGGAAGTCAAAGCATCGTGACCGAAACCGATCTTTATCAGCAGAAGATAAGCATCACAGAAAAAGTAGGTCATCCCCAAGAGGCAGGGATGGCGATAGATCAAAGCATAGAAGGTACTCCAATTCAGCCTCTCCCGATGGTGAAAAAAACAGGCACAGGATAGATGAGGACAGGGATAGAAAACCTAATCATCGCAGTAGAAGAAGGTCAAGATCAACTGAAGGCAAGATTCGTAGATCTCAAAAGGAGCTTGATGTATCTGAATCGAGGGAGAAGAAACACTTGAGGTCTAAATCTGTAGAGCGCAGGCGTCACTCGAAAGATGGCAAGGATAAAAAGAAGGACGATAACGTAGCTGATCACAAGGGCAGATCGCACAGAACTGAACATAGCACTCAGGAAATAGATTTTATTCAAGAAGACTCTTCAAAGACTAGGGATGATGGAATGATGCGGGCAAAAGAAAAAGACCGTTATTCGAATCAATCAGTAAAAGTCACGACAGCAGAAGATGATGAGGATCTAAACTGTAATTCTATGCCAGATGGTATTACTGATGGGGAAGGTGTAGTACCATTGACTGAGGATCCATAGCATGGTAATGTCTACTGATTTAAAAGGGGAGACAAATATATGGGGATTATTTAATTTTGACGAAATTGGTGATAACTTGGTGTGGTTTGCAGGAATCGTGATGCCAGGAGCAGTGAATTTCAGAGGTCAGCGTGCCTGAGATTGGCAGAGTTGGTACATGCAATATCAGAACTGGGAACAGCCATATCATGATTTGAATGCTGACGGGTATTGTGTCGCAAGATTTGAAAGCCAACGAGTCAACAGGAGAGGGCCTCTTTGCTTGAAATAAGGGCTGCTTTAAGAAGACTTGTTAGAGTTTCTTTGGTGCTAGGATTCTCTGCCAGTAGTTAGCTCCTTATGAACATGCACCTTTTCTTTTGTGTTTGCTGTCTTTGCAGGTCCATACTGACTGGGTTGGAACTAGCCCTTGGCTGGAGCTGACTTACGGCTTAAGCTTCTCAAGAGCTGTGGCCATTTGCATCTCTACCTACAATGTTTGTAGCAATCTCCTATAACTGCTAGATGTATGTGGAGCTTCTTCTATTGCTGCCTTGTGGATTTTTTGGATAAAGTATTTCTTTGAACAGTTTGTGCATTTACCTTGCTTTTAGCTAGAGTTTGAATGAGGTCTGATTTTTTTTTGGTGGTGACTGGAGAAGGTGCTTTGTCATTCATATAGTGAAAGATGGTGGATCTTTCACTTGGAAGGCCTTCTCGATATGTTTGCATGCTTTCATTAGTTCACTTGTAGGTCATATGCATTGGTGATTGAGATGGAAATTATGCATGCGACAGTTAAGTCACAGGTTCCTGTTTTTTCTACCTTTGTGGTGTAGTGGGCTAGTCATATCCCGAATGCGTGCAGGTTCGACATGCTGCGTTACTGAGATCAAGTGAAACCAGAGTCTCCTTTTCTCTGAGATCTGGCATGTTGACATATAGTCATCCAAAAAGTGGAGGTATGCAGCCATGTAGTCAGCGCTTCTGTTCCAAGTTTCCTACTTGGTGCTCTTATGAATTATGATTAATAATGATTGCATTGGATAGAATTGGCAGTGCTCAAGTAGCTTGTGCATGCTGTTATAAACACTGTTGCCTTATTTCTTCCGGTCTTTTTCTTTTGTTTTCCTTTTCCCCACGCCCCCTATTCTCTTCTCCTTCTCCTTTTCTCCTTCCAAGGTATATGGTTTGGTGAGTGAAGCTACTTTTGAGGTGAAAGTGAAACATGCTGCGGCAGGCGTGAATAGGCTCAGAGTTATGCTGTTGTCAAGTATCTGAAGATTGGCCAACTCCATCGTTCGATCATGTATATCTTCAGGTAATTCCTCGTTAAAATTCCCTGGGAGAAGGCTAGGGTTATCAGGATGTAAAGCTCTCATTTTGTTTCTTCCATGCCTGCACTTGGATGGATCAACACCGTGTTCTCCATATATATAGCCAAGATAGAATTGACTCGTGTTTTAGGATACTCGCCCAGATCACCATGAAACCAACAGGATACCGTAGTTAGTGGTGGCATTTGTTTCACTATTGAATTTATGGCTAAGACTCAATATTTCCCACCATGTTCTGATGTAGTTGGCTGGGGGAAAGCAATTATATGAGATTAGCCGGTATTTGTCTGGAAATTGTTAGAGTTGATTGTTCTTTGGGTCTTCCGTACCTTAGTCCCATGGAAGAGCGAGCATGTTTATGGGATAGGTCTATTGTTGTTTGCCTCTTGCCTTCTTCTGTTTCCTTTTTCTTCTTCTCCCCCAGTTTTTCTTCTGCTCTTTTCCTTTTTTGAGACTTGTGAAGCAGATGGGTACGGGGAGAGGTGCAGCAACCGGACTGATATATACGCTCTTGCCAGCCACTGGAGTTGGAGCCTTTCAGTTCTTGCCTTCGTTCAATTTGGTTTAACTCCGTCTGCTACTTTTTTGAGTCACATGATCACATCTCAAGTAGCTCTGCGTACTGCCACCAGGTTATGGTGCATAAGCAGGTTGTATAGTGATTCCTTCCTGCGTTCGACGATGGTTATATGAGGTGGTGAAAAGTTTGGGAGAATTGTTGAGTTGCTTTCGTGTCTCTTAATGACTTAATTCATATCAGTTTGATCGAGTTGGTGAAAAGTTTGGGCGTCAATTCATCCTGGTGCTCGACCTAGCAAACAAATGTCGTCTTCAGTACATTAGCAAGAATCCTATCTCGTTGCCCTGATTGCAATGGCTCCGTCGACATTTATTGCCTAGTTATCATAGTACGTACGTTGGCCCTAACACCTCAGGGCATAGGGTAATCTGGGTTTGCAAAGCCTACAATACATCAATGAAGCTTTTGGGACCTGAAAGCTTCTATTCTGAAGGAAAATGAGAGCAAAGTGTTCAGGAAACTATTCCTCATCACCGTCTCCTTACCATCCGATTTTTGTCGTGATGGAAGTTCGTTGAAAGAGGCTTAGCTTGAGCGTTGCAGTACTTCTCTTGTGTTCTTGCTGTTAGGAGGAAGAATAGGCAACTACTCCGATAAGGACACAAGTATATACAATGCTATTGGGTTGTTAAATATCACTAACTTTTGTCACAACTCACAAGTCATTTTATATGGCAATCGCAACGCCAAATCTTTTGAGAATGTTTGTTTAATTGGGAAGATCAGTGGCGGGATTCTTCGAAATCCAATGGATTTTGCTCACCACCTTCCCACTAAACTAAAGTTTCCATTATTTAAGTGGGTGATGTTTGGTGGAGTCACCTTTGTAACTTTCTGTGTCCTTCTCACTTGTTTTGTCATGAATGATGAACAAACAAGGAAAAGGAAAAATGTCCAATTTTGGCTAGGCGTGCGTGAATCATGCATCTATACTTCACTAATATTTAATTCTAATAATGCTTGTTTGTAAAAAGAATTTTTTTTTTTTGAAGAGGACTCAATTGAAGCAGATCATATAGAAGGTCAATGAGCTAATGAAAGTTGATACAGACTTAATGAGTTTTCCGTTTACGTTGCTACTGTGAAGGAGTAGGGTCATTTTCTTCATATAAGCAGGGCAAAAAATCTGAGTGAGTGTTAAAATTTCTATTGTAAAATATTCTAGGTGTTTTACCTATCTGAAAGTTGAGTGTAGCGTGGCTCCGTCAATGCATATATTTCTTGCACCTCCCGATCTAAGTGCAGCACAGAGACTCCTCTGGAGAAACGAGAGCAAAAATAAAAATAAGTAATTGTTACTTTTTTAGTGGATGTTTGGTTATTCGCATCAAATGATACATGCAAATTTTCATGTTATTTCTCAAGTTCTTCCCCGTTTTTAGTTGAATCGAAGTTGTTGGCATTGCCAATCAGTTAATTATGAGCGACAATAAACACAAATCTAACCGACAATTTTGATGCTACAGCGAACGCTTGGGAAGGAAACCGAACTCGATCAAGGATAACGTGACATTAATTGTTGCGACGTTCTCGTTTCGACATAATAGTCGAAAGTCGATGTTGACACAAAAAATAATATCGAATATTGTCTTATGTAATATAATATGAATAATCAAAAGTGTTTTTTTTTTGTTAATACCCTAGTTTCGCCCAAGGGTTGGCGTCAGTGACAATTCTGGCCCCATTTTTCAAATAGACATTTATGGCCTACTTTTGAAACTATTGGACAAATTTGGCTCAAAATTTTCTTTGACCGTCAATATTGACGGTCAAATACTTTCCGTAGTAACTCAGCAAAAAAACAACTGATATGGCATGCCACGTCACTAAATAATACTATTTTATTTTTATAATAAATTAAAAAAAACCCCTCTTATCATCCCAAATCCAAACCAAACATCTGATTTTTCAGTTGTCAGAGAAAATCGACAAAACAATATCAAACATCACAGATCAAACCCGAACCTGCCCCTGCCGTTTGTCGCTACCCTCTGAACCAGAAACTCCAAACCCACATCCAGAAAAAATCACAAACCCCAAACCCATCTTCTTCCTTACCTCCGCCGCCGACAACACATCTTCTTCCTCCTTGTCGCTTCTGGCGCTGTCACCTGCAACAAACCCATCTCAAATACCATCTTCAGAAATCCATCCCAAATCCCATCTCCAAACCCAACCCAAATCCCAAAACCACAACGAAATCAGAAACCCCAACCCCAGATGGGAGGCGAGCGGTGGCTGTGGGTGGTTGTGGCGTTTCGCGGCGGTGGGAGAGGACGAATAAAGACAAATAGAGGTTGAGGTGGCGGGAATGACGGATTCCGCGCATTCGGAGCACCGGCGAGTTGTCGTCAATTATCCGCCGGAGAAGGGATGTCGCGAGTGGTAGGGAAGGCTCGAGATGCAGGGGAGGTTGGGAGTCGTAGATGTCTCACGAAAAAGGGAGGTGGGGAGGCTGGGAAGAGCTTCTATTTAGGGTTAAATGTTTGACGGAAAAGGGAGGTGGGGAGGATGGGAAGAGATTCATTTAGGGTTAGGAAGAGAGGTTCCAATTCTCAAATGCTGTCGAGGGGATCTTTTCATTTTTTTTGTTTTAAGTTTTATTTAATTGAATTATAAAATTAGAAAAAGTGTTAGTTAATGATGTGGCGCCCATGCATCAACCACATCAGATATTTTTTGCTTAGTCACTAACGGAATAGTGTTTGACCGTTAATATTAACGATCAAAGAAAATTTTGGGCCAAATTTGTCTAGCTAATAGTTTCAAAAGTAGGTCATAAATGTCTTATTTGAAAAATGGGGTCAGAACGGTCACTTACACCAAACTTCGGGCCAAACTAGGGTATTAAACTTTTTTTTCTAAATTTAATGTTGTATTGATTATTCCTAAATTAACCATTCCCTTCTTTTGATCTCAACTTGTAACATGTTGGGAGACTATTAGCTCAAACCAAGAGGATTTGTTACAAACGAACATTAATCAACCTTGGGATATATATTATTGACTTGCCAAGACCCATCACGACACTAACACCTATATTTTCCCTTCATTCAAATGCCTAGATTTGGGTCATCTAACTTTTATAGGTATCTAGGGTCCAAGAAATCGAAAACTCACTACAAGAAAAAATGCTTTTTACAACCAACAGAATTGGTCCCTAAAGGTCCAAAATTGGTTATAATACTTTTACGCAACCAAAATATTTTGGTTGCAGAATTGGTCGCTATAGCGGCGTTACGAATACCTAACGCAACCAAAATAGTGCTTGTTAGCGAAAAAGAAAGCTAACGCAACCAATTTTGCCCAAGGTAAAAACCCCATGTTTTTTCGCAACCATTTTAATTTGGTTGTCATAGTCCAACCTAATGGTTGGGAAATGTAGGTGATTGGTCGCCAAAAATACAAATGACAACCAAGTTCATTTGACATTAGTAACCTATTATTTGGTCACTAAAATGACATATAAAAAATTAAATAGGATTATAATAAAAAATTAATTCATATAACAAAAAAAATTAGTAATACAATTACATAATTATTGTTTAGTAACCAAAATTCACAATTACATAATGTTATCACTAAGAATCAACCCACTATTTCAAAATTCAGAATTACATCATGTGTTTTCTTTGTAGAATCTCACCAAAGTAACCCCACTGTTGAACGATATGATGTATCACAACTTCAAGGGCTATCATCATCTCAAGTTCACTTCCACTTTAAGTTCAACCCACTATTTTGATTCCTGCAACATGCCAGGGAGCATGAGCATTTCTACTTCTAGTAGCACCGATGAAAAGACACTCAGAAATGAGAATGAACTAGCTAGCTTGAGCATCTAGACACTCATTCAATATGTAAATCCAATTTACAACCATCATAACAGGGCTACAGAGGCATAAAAGAAGAACCACAAATAGAGATACATTATGGCTATGTGAAGATCAACAAGACTTCAATGAAGACATAAGTGAAGGAGAAAGAAACCAAAAACAAAAGAAGCATAAGACACGGACAAACCTTCAACAATTATGCAAAAAAAGCCACAGTAATTATATGGAAAAAGGACCAAACCTGGCAACTGGAGCTGAGGGTTATAACACCACATTCACAACAACAGAGTTGCTCATCAAACAAGCTCTGATAAGCCTGAATGAATCACAATAGTAAATCAACATCTTCACTCGTACAATCTGCCGCAAACTGCCAATTTCATGGAGTTCAAATTATCTTACAATAGAGTAGCAACAAAACTAACGCAAGCTAGAACAAAAGCAGATCCAGTCTTGAACTTCGTTGACAAATTATGGCATTTTACTTAATTGACCCAAACAGTACTATTAGGTGATCAGGTAGGTACCTAGCTAAGCAGAACACTGGCTTTTAACTTAATTGACCCAAACAGTACTACTAGGTGATCAATAAGCATAGACAAAGCAATCATAAATCCCCACAATTACTCCTCTTGCCGTGTACCTGAACAAACACAAACAAACTTCCAGATTCCAGATCTCTTGAGAAGGTGAAGATAGCTACACAAACTTAAAGACAATAGCCATATGTTAACAAAGAGAGAAATAGCTAGCAGGACTAAAACTAGAATCTACAAACCAAATTATTTAGTTATCTAAGCTTTTGAAATAGCTAGCAGGACTGAATTTTTTTATTGAATTTGCAACCAAATTATTTAGTTATCTAAGTTTTTGAAATTTGTTGTTAAAATTCATAACCAATAATATTTGGTTGTAGAAAGTAAAAATCATTATGTTACCAAATTATTTGGTTGGAAAAGGTAAAAATCATTTTGCTACCAAAACTATTTGGTTGGAAAAAGCATAAATCATTTTGCTATCAAATTATTTGGTCACTTAAAATTTTATTTGGTTATCGATACTTTTGATTTTAATAGGCAACCAAAATTTTAATATATTAGCTTCCAAAATATAATTGATTGTAAATAATACCCTATTCGCAACCAATTTTAGTTTGGTTGTAAGAATTTTGGTTGCAAAAGCCATATTTTGTTGTAGTGACTAAATTATTGCTAATACCTACATAATTGTTCCCTTCACTATTATTTTCACCCTAGACCCTACTACTACTTCCCATGTGGCCCTGCTATCGCCATTTATCAACCACAACTAAAATAAATTTTCCATATAAAACATACTCAAGAATGGAGTTGAAAAGTATAAACTTGGACTTGATAAAAATTATTAGGGCACAAAAAAGGATAACACAATATGAATAATGAAATGTTTCTTTCTTTTGGTTGTTGTATTATTCCTAATTCAATCATTCCCTCCTCGTATCTCAAAAACTTGGATCAAGTTGGGAGACTAGACTAGAGCTCAACCCAAGTGTATAACAACGTATAATCCAAGTGTAATTAAGTATGAGACAGCTAATTTTGTGTTAGTTAAGAACCAATCAAAGCAATTGCTTCTTCCACGAGGAATCTGCACGATTATTGATAAATATTATATTCGTAATTATTGCTGTTGTTTAATAATTGATAATAATTAATGTAGATCCTGACACAACTACCTAGCGCAGTTGTCTCTCTTGTTATATAGTTGTTAATTCACAACATCATATGATATGCCCAGTGACAA